CTTTGCACCTTTTTTTTTTTGTTTTCTTCGGCATTCTCTCACACCTGCTATTGGCCACAATGGAAGGGAATTTAGGAGGTTTTCTTTCCACTGTCTGCATCTGGCACTTGGTCTTCGGACCTAGGTTGTTTCTTCGTCTATATATGGCGGAGTTTGGCCACCAGGGTCTGGTAATATTACTATTGGAGTGAAAGGTGCTGACGGCAGGTATACCTTGAGTTTGGGAAATAGCTTGGAGAAAAGAAGGAAGCATTGGAGATGATCGGGTCAGATGGATAAGACGGGGGCCTTGGCTGGGGGGATTATTCTTGTTTTGTTGGCATTGTAGCGCAGGAGCATGATGGAGGGAAACAGGGAAAGGGTGTGTTTTGGTTTCCCCCCCCCCCCCCATTCAGCGACAGATGGGGCTAGATGCTTTGCTAGATACCCGCGCTTGGAGGTTCGAGTTTTGTTCAAGGTTTTCTATACCTTTCGTGCATAAAATTCTGGGGTTGTTAGGTAGCAGGCCAGGCAGGATGAATGTAATCAAATAATGTGTTACCATTAGTCTGTACCAAAAAGCCCCCTTTTTTGCTCTTGAGAATGAATTCAGGGGTTTGTTTTGTTAGCGATGCAGGGTTGCCGGGGGCAGCGGCGGGCGAATCGGCGATGTTCTGTTCGATTCTGCAATTCGTTAATTGCCGGTTGGCCTTCCGGGGGTGGGACATTTGGGAATTGCCCAATTATCTTGAGGTTTCTGATGTCGGGATCTGCCGGACCGGCGCGGACGGATGGGTTGACAGGCTGGGTCAGCCAAGTTGTTGGGAAAAGGTGGTCGCGGGTAGAAAAAAAAGGCGAGAGCGCGTTTTTCCATTTCAACTTTTTTGGCGCATCGCTCTCCTGTCATCTAATACCCTCATTCTCGCAGCAACTCACTCTCCCTCTGGTATCTTTTCTCTTTTTTGGGCGCCGGAGTTATCTCATTTAACAAAGTACGTAGCTGATCGGCACCCCGCACCTCCCCCTCCCGCAGCACGACTTGCTAACCGCCGCTCGGCGCTAGATACAGGGCTACGGTTTGTTTGTCAGGCGACTTTTTTTTCCCCCAGCATGCTTCGATCGGTTCGCATTGCCGGGCCCGCAGGCCGCGCCAGCCTTGGGGTGCCGAGGACAGCCAGCCGGTCGCTGAGCACATGTCTCAAGGCGGCGGCCGGTGCGTGCAACGCTCCCATTTTGTCACTTTCCAACAGCCAAACCGCCAACCCCGCCATCCGCCACCAGAGAACCTTCCACAGTAGTGCCGCGAGAATGTCGGCCAACACCAGAACCGAGAGCGATGCCTTTGGCGAGATCCAGGTCCCGGCCGACAAGTACTGGGGCGCTCAGACTGAGCGTTCCCTCGAGAACTTCAAGATCAACCAGCCCCAGGACCGCATGCCCCCACCCATCGTCAAGGCGTTCGGTATCCTCAAGGGTGCTGCGGCGACGGTGAACATGCGCTATGGCCTTGGTATGTACCCTCTTTTTGCGCTCTTGCAATGCGCTCTGGTATATGTGGTCCGAAGAAGAACGAGGGGCTGACCAGACGGGCAATATGTAGATGCTGAGATCGGCAAGGCCATTCAGCAGGCCGCGAAGGAGGTTGCTGACCTCAAGCTCCTCGACCACTTCCCCCTCGTCGTCTGGCAGACCGGCTCCGGCACTCAGTCCAACATGAACGCCAACGAGGTCATCAGCAACAGAGCCATCGAGATTCTGGGCGGCAAGATGGGCTCCAAGAAGCCTGTGCACCCCAACGACCACGTCAACCGCTCGGCTTCGTCCAACGACACCTTCCCCACCGTCATGCACATTGCTGCTGTGCTCGAGTTTGAGAACACCCTCCTCCCTGCGCTCAAGAGCCTTCGCGATGCGCTCCAGGCCAAGGTTGAGGAGTTCGAGGCCAAGAAGATCATCAAGATTGGCCGCACCCATCTCCAGGATGCCACTCCCCTGACCCTCGCTCAGGAGTTCAGCGGCTATGTTGCCCAGCTCGACTTCGGCATCAAGCGCGTCGAGTCTTCCCTCCCCGACCTCCGCCTCCTCGCCCAGGGCGGCACCGCCGTCGGCACCGGCATCAACACCTTCGAGGGCTTCGCCGAGGCCATCGCCGAGGAGGTTTCCAAGATGACCGGCACCGAGTTCAAGACTGCCCCCAACAAGTTCGAGGCGCTCGCTGCCCACGACGCCATCGTGCAGGCCCACGGCAGCCTCAACACCCTCGCTGCCTCGCTCAGCAAGATTGCTCAGGACATCCGCTACCTCGGCAGCGGTCCCCGTTGCGGTCTCGGCGAGCTCAACCTCCCTGAGAACGAGCCCGGTTCGTCCATCATGCCCGGCAAGGTCAACCCCACCCAGTGCGAGGCCCTCACCATGGTCTGCGCTCAGGTTATGGGTAACCAGGTTGCTTGCACCATCGGCGGCATGAACGGCCAGTTCGAGCTCAACGTGTACAAGCCCCTGATTATCCGCAACCTCCTTCACAGCATCCGCATCCTGGCCGACGGCATGAAGAGCTTTGAGAAGAACCTTGTTGTCGGCCTCTCTGCCAACGAGAAGAAGATTGCCAGCATCATGAAGGAGTCGTAAGTCTTCCTGAACTCAAGCTGACTCGTGAGATATTGCATACTGACTTGACACTTTGTTAGCCTCATGTTGGTTACCTGCCTGAACCCCAAGATTGGCTACGACATGGCGAGCAAGGTCGCCAAGAACGCCCACAAGAAGGGCCTGACCCTCAAGGAGTCCGCCATGGAGCTCAACGCCCTCACCGAGGAGGAGTTTGACACCCTCGTCAGACCCGAGCTCATGGTTGGCCCTTCCCCCTACAAGGGTTAAACTGCCAGCCACCAGAAGAATGCTGGAAACCCAGAGAGAGCGTAGAGGGGTTGTGTGATGTCGGCGAGCGTATCGTGTAGTCGTCTCGATCAAGCCTCCCCTTGATTGGGTAAAGGTTTTGATATGTGAGACTTGGGATTAAAACCCAAAGGCAGCGATATGCCTGACCGCATCACCCACCACCCATCACTTTTGCGTGAAACACACCTCCGTGTAACAATATACCCCTTGTCGTCGATGACTTCACCTTACCGTTACATACCCCTTACCCTTTTACCTCTACGAAGATGTGTTATGATTAGAAAATTAGCCATGAAGAAAATTAAATTGATACCACCACTGCTATATATACTCATTTTTGCGGGGAGAGGAGAGAAGGTTGTTTCATGATGTGTCACTGAGATAAGAGCTAGAAGGAAGCCGAGCCACGGCTATGGTGATGGGTATGTATGATGTCCCATGTGGTCTGGTCTGGCCAACGTAATGATATGCCAATTGGAATCACGGGTCGGAAGCCCTTTTTTCCCCCTTCGTATTGCGACATGCAGCATCACCGTCGACACAAACCCCTGGTAAGTAAGTGTAAGAGATATCGGAAAGTATCGGGCGGACGGGGCGGCCGGTAGTAAACGGGCAAGGGCAGACAGGCGAGGTGTCATAGCACAACCAGACAAACGCAGGCAGAGGCGGATGCATGACGCCGATGAGGACATGGTATTGGGGGGGGGGGGGAGGGGCGATGACCTCGGCTCTGGGCCGGCAGATCGGAGGTTCACGGCGGTGGTGGAGAAAGGCAAGGGAAGTGGGAAGAGCTTTTGTTTTTTGGCTTTGCCAACCCCCAACTTTTCTTGGCTTACGGGAGCTGGGGGTGATTGGCTTGGCTTATGATGTATGGAAGGAAAGGGTTGGAAGAGGAGTTTCTTTATCTCGATGGGATCGAGTAATCTGGTTGGGGGGTAATCGCCGATATCGCTGGAGGGAGCGGTGATTCAGTCGATGGGAATAAGAAGGAGAGATGGAGACTTTGGGGGTTTACAGAAGGAGGTTTAGGAACCACATAAAAAAGAATTGAATTGGATGGCGATGGAGGGTTTGAAAGGGTGTTTTTGTTTGATGGCGGGGAACGAGTAGGTGAGGTCATCGGAGCGCAAGTCATTACGCTGGTAGGGGCGCGGCACATGTCACATGTGAGAGGCTGCACCCGTTGTGAGCTTGTCCAGTTTTCCCCTGATTGTGGGGTAGCGGATTTGACCAATGGCAGCGGTGGGAGCACCCGGACGGCCGAGCGAGCATGGGAATTGAATGCCATGAAGAGACCAACCACATGTTATGGATTGTCTGGGCGAGGCGATGATGGAGTCCCTTGAACCGGATTGCCGAGTGGTTGAGGAAGCAGAAGGAGGCAGAGATTGTCTTGGGGGAAGATGGGTTAGATAGATATAGGTCTGGGTTCATGTCGGGTTTTGGATGTTTTGGGAGGGACGTCATCGTTTTGACAGCACATCATCAGAATTCCAAGCGTTTGCTTTCGCCGCATGCGGGAGCTTTTTTCTCTGGTTTCTTGAACAAACATCGCGCATCTTGCTCTGATAACCTCTCTATACTGAGGGGAGACACGACAATTGGTTTTATTATCGGTGAGTCAGGTTGGTTCCTTCTCTTGACTCAATCAGCTCGTCTGAGGTCGTTGTCTGTCGGTCACGGGGCATGCGTTTTGGATTCGAGCGAGAGCTTCGTTATGACCAAAGCTCGAGATCTCTCCCTTTCTGGTCCTGTTCTTTTTTCCCACTTTCTCTGATACACACATCCGCGTCCCCGGCACTCATACGTCAATTGAAACTCAACACTCCCCGCCTTTTTTCTTTGTTCCATTTCCCCATACAGCTCTTCCTCCACAATTTGGGTGAACCACACCCTGCCCACCCCCCCCCCCCCCCCACTACCAATTGGCAGCTGTTTTACGACTAAGTATTTGACCCGCGGCTCACCTCGGCATTTTCACAACCGTTAGCGATTGTTGATTGACTCAGCTTGCTCTTTCGTCACGAGGTCCTAACGTTTTTGGTTCTGTTCTAGAATACATACATATATATATATATATATATATATATACATATATAAACAGCTTCGCCTCCCTTTTTTAGGATAACGGAGCTTTGCAAACACCACACCCACCCACATCACCCCACGCACACAACATCACAATGCCTAGCACCGAGTCCATCCTTCAGGGCGTCAACGTCCTCGGCCCCGTTTCGGAGTCACAAAAGAAGATCCTCACACCGGAAGCTCTTGCTTTCTTGGCCCTTCTCCAGCGGTCATTCAACTCTACTCGCAAGGCTCTCCTTGAGCGCCGCAAGATCCGCCAGGCCAAGCTCGACAAGGGCGCTCTGCCTGACTTCCTTCCCGAAAACAAAACACATTCGCGAGAACCAAACATGGAAGGCCGCGCCCCCCGCTCCCGGGCTTGTGGACGCCGGTGGGGAAATCACGGGCCCCACTGACCC